CGGATCAGGGCCCGGCAAGGACGGCCCAAGGGCGCCCGCGGGCCGCGGGGAAGGAGACCCGCCGCGGCCATGCCCTCCTCCAAACCCCTGTCCCGCTTCTGGGAGTGGGGCAAGAACATCGTCTGCGTGGGGCGCAACTACGCCGAGCACGCCAAGGAGATGGGGAGCGCGCTGCCCCGGGAGCCCCTCTTCTTCCTGAAGCCCTCCTCGGCCTACGTGCGCGAAGGCTCGCCCATCCTGCGGCCCTACTACTGCACCAACCTGCACCACGAAGTGGAGCTGGGAGTGGTGATCGGGAAGAGAGCCCGGGCCGTGTCCCAGGAGGCCGCCATGGAGCACGTAGCAGGCTATGCCCTGTGCTTGGACATGACGGCCAGGGACACGCAGGAGGAGTGCAAGAAGAAGGGTCTGCCCTGGACCTTGGCCAAGGGCTTCAGTTCGTCGTGCCCGGTCAGTGACTTTGTGCCAAAGGAGAAGATCCCAGACCCACACAAACTGAATATCTGGCTCAAGGTGAATGGAAAGCTGAGGCAGGAGGGGGAGACTTCCTCGATGATCTTCTCCATCCCTTATCTGATCAGCTACATCAGCGAAATATTCACCCTAGAAGAAGGGGACTTGATTCTGACGGGGTCTCCCGAAGGAGTTGGGTCAGTGCAGGCCAACGATGAGATAGAGGCTGGGATAAGCGAGGTCCTCTCCATGCGGTTCAAGGTGGCACAGCAAACGCGGGGATCCTAATCAGGAGCTGGGCTGGGACCCTGTCCCAAGAAAAGAAAGGCTCTTTTGGGAACATCTGATGAATGAAGAGGCACACAAGCTGTCCTGTACATTAAACACTTACATGGCCCAGGCATCTAGTGGACTGTCACACGTCAAAGACATGTAACCCGTGAGCTCAGGAGGCATTTGAGTGAAACGGCGCCGTTTCTGTGGAGGCTTCAGCCTCCTCTGAGGCTGTGAACCCCACCCCAGCTTGAAGCAGATGGTCGATGCCCAAACCGTCCCTTGGAACTGTTGACAGAGACAGCGTGCCGGGCAGCTGGGGTGGCTGTCACTGCTGATGTGCTCTTCTGTTCTACTGATGGGTTGAGCCTTGCCTTGAAATAAAAATCATAAATTAAACCATTAAAATGGTGATGTAGGAGCTAAAGCTCACCCATGCTATGTAAAATCAAAGATGTGTGTGTAACGATAAATCAAGAATTACAGCTTCAGAAAGAATTTCTCTCCTTGGGGTATTCTACAATAAAAAGATGTTTGTTTCTTAGATTAGTTTCACAATTCCTCCGTGCGTTTTTCAAATGTGCAAATTAAATGAGGATTGCTTTCCCTCCCGCTCCAAGGGGCGTAATGCAGCAGGAAGCGTGCCAGATGCTTGGCAGATTTTTTTTCCCCAAAACTGATCTTTAAGTATGCTTCTAAAAGTAAAATAATACAAAAATCAATAATAAAGCAGCTCATTGGTAAAGATCACTAGTAAATGTGTCTTGTCTTTTACTGATTTAAATATATTTTTAATAAAAATCCAACTGCAGCGATTACTGTCACTTACACAACGCAGTGCAACAGTCGGAGCCTTTAAATATTCCCAGCTGTTGAAAAGCCGTGCTATGTAACCGTTCCTGTTTCCAAACTCCAGCTGGTCCAACACTCTACCAGTTCGCACGACAGAGAGTTGTCTAACAGCGCTGTAAAATAGAATTAAAAAACCCCTCGCCCCCAAACATCAAAGCTCGCCATTTTCAAAGGCTGAACAGAACGGACAATTTCTAACAAAAAGAGGTGGATTATTTTTTTCACATACATGCAAGCATGAAAGTTAAATGCTTCCAGATACTGGAGCCAGATCGTAATAACCACTGTGTCTTTAAAAGTGCATTTGGAGAGTCCTGCAGAGAAAATCACTGGAGCCCGAAGACAAGCACCTCTGCGAAAGAGCAGCATGGTCCAGGATGCTGCGAATCACCCGGTCAAAAGAAAGCAGAGTGTGTTGTGGAAATAAAAATTGACATTTTTCTATCAATTTGTTTCTCTGGCTGCAGACACCCGCAGTGCACCCCTGCGTACCCACACACCGCCTGCGCTGGGTGCTGGCCCTGCCAACAGGCACGCGTTTCACTTGGCTGCGTTTTGACTCATGCCTGAAAGCCCGTGTAAAAGCTCTTTGTATGATGAGGCCTTAAATGCTGTGGACATAATTCAGGTTTCATCCAAAGGAGGCCACCTGAAGCAAACATTCGGCCTGAAGAGAACCAGCGCCTGGCCCATAGAAGTCAAAATGCTCCCTGATTTAAGCCCGCTGCTGTCAGCAGGGAATCTGTGCCCTGGTTTTGTTGTGGCTCGATGAGCTGTTTATTGCTGCAGCAGGAGGGACATTTTTTGTGCATTTAGTCCCTTGTTCCCACTCACACAAGCAGGGGGATGCAATCTTGGAGTATTACTCATCAAAACGCACTATTTCTTTAGCTGTTTCCTCTCTGCTTTAACGGGTAGGTAGGGAACCAGGGGTGAGCGCAGCTCCTCGAGGCATTCTAGCCTAACAAGTACTTTGCAAGAGAAGGGCTGCAGTGTCTTCCCACCATCTGAAACAGGGCAACTCCCGATGTGCTGAGAAGGTGAGGACCGGTGAATGCAGCAAATCCACCAGCTGCAGGGAAAGCAAAGGACAGACACAGATTAAAAAATAGGAAAAAATACATGGAGAAGGGCAGAATGTACATACCTAGGTTCTTTATGTTCAGCTAACAACAACTACTCTTCCTGGTGAAGAAGAGTCCTTTCTCTTCTGCCACTTCGAGTCTTAGCTTGACTGTTCGGTTGTCAGAGATCCCTGGTAATCGATTACTCTGTTCAGGTAAGACTCGGTCTGCCCTAGCGAAAAGCAGCCTTGCAAACATCATGGCTATTGCCGAGCCTCTGCGGTTGCCAGAAGTTCCGTGTTAGGACTCACCAACAGACACCACAAACCCAGGCAGTATTTCAAAGTGGGTTTTTATTTTCTGAACTAAGACAAAGTAGCACGAAAGTAGCAAGGCAGTTAAAAACACAGAAGCTCGACAGATCTGTCTGGTACTATTTGTTATTTCTGATTTTTTTAAAATATACTCTAAACTGAGTGAAGAAAACTTCCCTCCCCCTTGTAAGGGGAGGTGGGGTGTCAGGACTAACTTTTCTTAAGATGAGGCCCTCGTACACTTTTTAAAGTACAATCACCTGAAAAAGATCAACACAGCAGCTCGCTTACAGGGATTACCAACGCACATTCCTTCTTTACTGTCAGAACATACTTAGAAAAATACGATGCCTCTGATAATACAGTGAGGAAATCGGCTTTGTCCTAGCTGTTATCAAGCACATAGTGTAATCTCTTATTTCCTGTCTCTTTTCCCAACAAGCTCTGACTGGCCTCTTTGGGGTCTGCCAGTTTGCATGAGAGAACATTCACTTTCAGTCCAGTTCTCCAGCTGGGTGACAAAGTAACCTGTAAAAATAATTAAGGGTCTTTGGTTTTAGTGCTGTATAGCCCTTTGAAATATAGTTTTCAAATATCACATGGCATGTTTAATTGACAGATTTGATTATACATATTTGACATTATTTTATATACGAGTACGCACATTTTATGCTATATACCTGTCACTACAGAAGTAAAACACTTCCATTTTTTCCTGGAAATAGAGGCAGAGGGTGGGGGAGTGTAAGAACGGCTTTGCTAAGAAGGGCAAGTTTAAAGAAGGGAGTCAGTTTAGAGTTGTCCTGGAACAGGCAGTTCTATGAAAAAGGAATCCAGTCCAGTATACAGCATGCACTTAAAAAAGTAAAGACTATTGCAAGTAATAGCAGATCTTTTAACAAGCCTCCAGGTGTGTGAAGGTGATATTGCTGTTGCTTTAAGGAACACTGCAGATTTTAGACATACTTAGTCACATAATTTCCAAAAATACAGGTAACTACGAAATAGGTAACCCCACATACCGTACAATCTATTACATACACTGACTGGGTCACCTTCTTGCAAACTGATGGAGTTAACTTCATTCCTTATAAACCTACAGCCGTAGAAGTCAGTGACTGAATCATGTGTACGTGCTTTGGAAATATCAGCTCCTTTATCGGCATTGGCTAAGAGCAGTTTGCATCTTTCATAGTTTGCCTGAGGGAGGCCTGCATACCTGATCCTGCAGGTACATCCGCTAATGTTCAAATTACGGCAAAGACTATTTACTTGGACTATTCAGAATATGTACAAAACCTAATCGTTATTTTTTAAAGTTCAGCAGAGCTGACATGGAATTTTTCAGTACTAAATATAGTACCGAATGGGAAAGAGCTACTGTTTTAAATTAACATTAAATACTAACTTTAAAATAAATCTTGCTTCGTTCCAAAAGAAGTTGCCATTTCAATGCAGTCTTCTTGTCCTCTGTTAGAGTGAGGAACTCCCGGACCTGTTAGTAACAGGACATCACAGAACACACAGAGTTATAACAACATCTCCACAACAAAGTGATGATGAAAAGAGCATCTTCTGCTTTTTTAATGCATTTCTAAGCTGTAATTTCCCTCTTTTAACATAGTGTTTGGTCTAATATATGTACCAAGACAGCCAGATTAATTAGAATAAATTGCAGGGTGTTTGAGAATCAAAATTAGGGAATTCCAACCATGTTCTCAGAAAAGTGTAAATTAATTAAAAAGCAGTATTCTGCATAGGGTATTCACTCCTACATTCAACGTGTTTCTTTTTATTTTGCAGCTACTGACTTCTGTTGACTTGTTAAAAAGCTAAGAGTGTGTGTGTATCCACATCCACACAAGTTTTTAACTGGCATACACTCAGACATATAGGAAAAACATTTACGTCTATTTGTAATTTTCATCAGCCTTCACAGCTCAGATCAAATAAGAACAACCTAATTCATTTCTACTTACCGTGCAGCCTAATGTCTCCTCAGCTACGTAGTCAGACAGGTAACAAGAATAAAGAGTGCCCGTGTGATCTGTCAGATCAACGAGTATGTCAAAGCTTGCAAAAGTTGACTTTGAATCCGAAGAGATGTCACTGCAGAAAGTGCATGTGTTTGACATTTCATTCACCAGAAAACGGCATATTGAGCTGCAACAGAACAAGATAATTAATGCGTATATGCAATTCCTCCTTGTTTGAAACTGTTTCCTAGACTCAGATTTCCCAAGAGACTTTTCCTCTTCCAAAAAAAAAAGTTCATCTTCTAAACCCTAGGTCTGCCTGAGTCAAAATGGCCTCTTTTATTCTTGGCTCCTCTTGGACCAGAAAGAGCAAGTCCTTCATAGAGCCAGCTCCTCTTCCTTGCTGCCTCTGGAAGTCTTACACAAGAGAAATTCATATGGCATCCTCCAGAGGAGTTTTATTTCTTGTCTGGAATGGAACTAAAATATTGTTCCATCTAAATCAGGTTCAGGGGAAGAAGGATAAGAACTTCTTAATACAAACTTAAAACAGGCAGTTGCTTACCATCTGTTGCGAATAACTTTAGATGCATTATCATCAATGTCCAGTGTAGAAATGTAGCCATAAATAATGCCATAGACTGGTTCAAGTTTCCCATCACTCTGTAAAGCTTTTTCTTTCAGCTGTTCCACAGTATAAACATCAACTATAGTCTCCACTAAAAGTTTAAAAGACATGTTAAGTGTGTCTGAGAAAGAAACAACACAGAAGACCAACAACAAAAATGGATCCTAAGGTAATAAAAAAGGCGAAGATTTGATCTAAAGCATCAGAAAAGCCCCACACACCTTCCCTTTGAAGCAGGCTTATAATTTGGGGACAAAAAATAAAACAAAAGGTGAGTCAAATCAGAAAAATATCTAATATTTAATCTTTGTATCCCCCCCAAATGAGTTTTTGACAAAAAACTTTCCCTCTCCATCTTTTGTCCTTACTCAAGACAGAAAGAATGTGCCAGCCAGGCTGCAAATGGGCATAGCCCCCAACCCTGCGGATATGTAACTGATACCATAAGGGCTAGCTGCAACAGTCCAAACTTGAAGTATCTAGGTAGGCTATACCTTACTTTTGTTTCCATGAACACACAGAGCAAGCACTTGAAATTTCAACAGCACTGTGAAACTACACTATATACGGTTAAATAAACTCAAAGTGTTTGGATCCATGCTTACAGTTAATGGATTCTTTCAGCTGCTCCTCTATTTTATCATGCAAAGCTCCTGATTGTGCACTCTCTTTTATGAAGCTGAAGAGAACATTTGCTTCTGCTGTTTCTTGAAAA